AGAAAATAGTTCCCCAACTAAGCGCCCTAAGTTATCTTTCCCCTCCTGGGTAAATGTCCAGCTAAACAGGGCTAGCCCAAAGCAAGGCCTAAAAGTCTGCCTCATGTAGAAAGTACCAGCTATTGTGGCCCATAGAATAGGGTCAAAAAAACTAAGACAAGTCTGGGAGAAAAAGAGCAAAATCAAAATGAGGATACATGCTGCCATTGTTAACCTCACCACAATCTCTCACCCAAATACTAATGTGTATTTTTCACATAAAATCTGTTTCAACCAGTCCAGGACCAAGAAACCAATGCAGCTTCTTCACATGCCTCTCTGCAACACTGCTTCCTCCAGATATTCTAGTTTTCCATCCTTACACTTTCCTTCAGCATCTCCTCACCAGCTTTTTCTTCTCCCTACTCAACTCCACCTTATCTTGGTTTGGGCAGGGAACCTGAACTCTTTTTCAAGGAGACCACCCTGTTACACAAGCAGTTTTTATACATTGATTTTATACCAGGGTACTTTGATATATTTATTTATAATTCTAATAGCTTTTTGGCAGAGCCCTTAGGGTTTTCTATGTACAGTATATTTCATATTGTCTACAAATAATAATAATTCTTTAAAGCCTGGTTTTATTTTATTTCCTGCTGTTTTCTCACTGCTCTAGTTAATATTTCCAATACTAAATAAAACAGACTGATGAGAGTAGGCATCCTTGTCTCTCTCATTCCTGATCTTAAAAAGAAGGATGTTGTTTCTACCAGTATGTATATTAGGGGGTGCACATTTGTGATATATGGCCTCTGTTAGGTTAAGGTAGTTTCTTTCTATTCCATCTAGTTTGGAGGTGTTTTTTCTTTTTAATCATAAGTGGATGCTGATCTTATCAAGTACTTTCTTTGAACCTATTGATATTATTATGATATTAAACTTTACCATTGTTAAAATAACCTATTACATTGGTTGATTTTTGTATATTGAACATTCCTAACTTCTCTGGGATAAATCCTACTTATTATGATATTTAATCCTTGTAATGTATTGTTGAATTTGATTTGCTAATATAATTTTGAAGATATTTTCATCTATATTTATTAGGGATATTGATTTTTAGTTTTTTTGTGCTATTTATAGCTATTTATAGGTTTTGGTATTATGGTAATTTTGAACTTTTTAATGTACTAGGGAACATGCTCTTTTCTTTAATTTTTATAAATAATTTGAGCAAGATAGGAATAAGCTCTTCTTTAAAAGTTTAACAAAAGGAAGCCTCTAGCCTAGGCCTTTTGTTTTGTAGGGGAATTTTGAGTTTCAGTTTCCATGACTGTGATTAATTTCTTTTTGTTTCCTCATGGGTTAGTCTTGGTAAATTATATTTTTCTAGAATAATTTTCCTTTGTACCAGGTTATTGGTATAGGTGTGTAATTATTTACAGTAACCTCTTGTGACTTTTTGTATATCTATACTGTCTCTGTAATATCTCCTCTGTCGTATCTACTTGTTTTTATTCATGTTTTGCTGGTTATTTAGGTAGGTAAAGGTTTACCAATTTTGTTTGTTGGTAAAGGTTTACCAACTCTTTGCTTCTTTCTTTGTTCAGTTAATTCAGTTTAATTGGTTACTTGTATGATCTTTTTCATTTCTTATTTATCTCCACTTGTAACATTCATTATGTCCTTTCTTCTACTCACTTTAGGTCTTATTAGTTCTACATTTTGAAGTTATTTTAGATGCAATATTCCACCGTTTATTTTGGATCTCTCTTGCTTCTTCTTCTTCTTCTTCTTCTTTTTTTTTTTTTAAAGATTTATTTATTTGTGCATACAGAACTGGGGTACAGGCCAGAGGCTCAGGGGTGGTAAGAGGCTTCACCAGAGACAGAGTGGGGAACAGAACAGGCAGATCCACGACGAAGTACACTGCTGAGGGGAGCAGCAGGCAGGTCAGGAGAGGTCTGCCACGCCATGTGGTAACCTCCAAGGCAGGTGGGAATCGAACTCATGCGGAAGTGGTTTTAGATTCTCAGTGCTGTGCTTTAACTCACTGCACCACCAGGGAGGGCCAACTTATTATTTCTTTGTAGTGATTTGCTTTATTTTTTTAATGTTTCTTATTTTCTTTCTTTTTTTAATCTGCTTCCTTATTTATTTCATATTGAGGTAACACTACTGATTTACATCAATTTTTGTGTTTTAGAACATCTTTTTACTCAGGTGTTGTTACTATACCACACCCACCACTTACATATACACCCGCAGTCTACCTCCATCATTCATGGTGCTCCCTCTTGTCCATGCTTTCACCTCTCTTCACCCCACCCATTTGGTAGCATCAGTTCTATAGTCTGCTTTCTAGAGTTCATTCTTAGTTTGACTTTATCTGACCTTTTGTTTGGTTTCTTTGTATTCCATATAGAAATGACACCAGCTAGTATTTTCTTTCTTCTTCTGATGTATTTCAGGGTGTTTTCAACACTCTATTTGATAAAAATTACATACTAATTTCCTGGATCCTTTAAGGGTACCATCCCAGGAATATGCGTGTTAGACAGAGTTCTACAAGTGACTGAAGAATTAGTCATGATTCCTAGTGCTCCCAATACAAAGAAAGTAAAGTCTGAATTAACAGAAAATATAAAATACTGAATCTATTGTTTTATTTTTAGAAAGATAGACAAAAAATGAATGAGTATTTTCACATAAAATGTGAGGGGAGTCTGGACTTCAAGGAGAGTGGAGAGTAACTAACTCATAGGATATGTGTGATTTGTACATCAAAGAACTCATACTGTGTAGTAAGATTTTGCCTTGCCCTATAGATGTTTTTCAGAGAGAAAGATATTTCTGGTAGTATTCCAACCCCATAATTTTCATTTGTGTAGGTAGTTAAATGGGGGTGGTGAAAGTTTCTTGTGAGTGTACAGGGCCTTAACCAATTTCTACTCAAGATAGTTTCTCTGTCAGATGGACTCATGGGAAGGTTTGTTCTAAACATTGAGGAGAAAGACCTGTCATTAAACTACTAAAGGAAAGTTGTACATTCACAATCAATTTAACAGGAATAGCAATAATTGCAAAATAACTTCTCCTTGCTAATAGTATATCATGTGTCAGGTACTGTCGTAACCCCATAACCTCGGTGGTTCTTTCAGTGACACGTCATATATATTATTTTAACCATTTTATAATCAAATTAATTGAAGCTTTAAGAGGTTAATAAGTTACCCAAATTAGGAGGGAAAAACAGTACTTAAAAGGTAGAAGCAGAATAAAATTTGAATCTTTTGGTAAATATAGGGACCAAGATTTTAAAGATGAACTACATTTTCCCATTTTGAAAAATCAAAATATGGCAAATATTGTTAACTAATATTAGCAATTCACATGGAAAAACTAATTTTCTCAAGAGCTTGTTGCCACAGAGAAGCTCTTTCACTGTTTGCCATTAAGTTCATTATAGTCAGCTTCTGTGAAAGTGTTTCCTTTTCTGCTGAGTGCACTCTTTAGTTCATCTTTTTAGTTTAATTTTCCCAATACATAGATAATGCAATTGGTTTTGAAAGTTTAGAAGCCAGGTTCAGGCAAAGGCCACCCATTTCTGAGAACCATGTTATTTTGTGAGGTTACTGCATAAAATAGTCTCATTTTAGGTAGAAATTTAAAATTGTAATGTTTTCATTGGAAATCATTTCTTTTTGCATCATCCTCTGAGCTGGGTCCAATGCAGATATGAGTGAAATTTGATGAGTTATTTCTCATCAAATCCTGGATACCTTTCTATTCTATATTATCAACATATTAAAATGACTGCTTGGAGTCTATTGTATTTTTACCTACCATATTCCAAAATGAGTTGAGTTTTCACAAACGATAAGCATATCTATGGTTTTTACTGCTGTGAAGCTGAAAATGGGGGGGAGGGAGGTTAGGAGGGTAGAAAACTTCTGGAATATTCCCAAGTCTATGAAAATAAATCACTGGGTTTGCAGTTGCTCATGAAAGCTTCTCACTGAGATCATTCAACATCTTTATTGAGACTTTTTCCTTTCAAGAGTCCCTGGAGAATAGTACCTTGCCTTTTTTTTTTTATATTATTTTTAAAATTCAGTAACATTTTGAAGTACTTAACTGGGTACCTTGATAATACTGTTCTGAATTTATATTACCTCTCAAGTATAAGACCTTTACAAATGGTATGGAAGGCTCACTCACTGATGACTATGTAATCTCACTAAAGCTGCTGGAGACTTAAATAGGCAAGAGGCAACTTGAATTGACCTCAGAGGCCAGGGGTATGATCTCATTTCAATGGAAAAATGTCCTGGGAGTACTAGTGACCTCAAGAGGTCAAGAATTTTAGCTTTACATTCCTTTTCAAAGGTTGCCTATGACTTTTTAGGGCCCTCCTGAGGCAATGGTCTTTGTTCAGTCAAGCCAAAGATTTCATTAATTGAATCACCAACACTATTCCTCTCCTCGCTGGGGACTGTATCATAGTACCCTATCAGAGTTTAGATATTTATCTGTGAAATTTGACCCAGTCAGAGTATAAGGAAATGTTGCTTCAGGCAGAATTTGTAAAACATTGGTATTATATCCCTTACTCCAATCCTTTACCAAGGGCTACATTTTTTTTTTTTTTTTTACTTTGAAGAGAACTTCAACTTCTCCATCAATAGGATGTAAAATTTTGAATGTGAAAGAAATAATTCCATCAAGTGTCTGTGTTTTCTATTTATACATAGAATTTAATTCAGATTATACATAGGACAGAGAATTGTGCTTAGTCTTTAAACTGATCTATTGAAATTTCAACATTAATTTTCTCTCAATTTTAATTATTTTCCTACAGAGGCATTCAACATTGTTTTTCTAGATACAAAAAAAAATTTTTAGAAAGATGTATTTCTGAATTTATTGTGATGGGATTTTCTTTTACAATTTTTTAAAGTAAGGGGGAAAACCTGAAAGATGGAGGTTTTGATCATTTGTAAATTTTTATTTTTCAGCTCTGATGATGCCTTCACTAAAGTAAATTTAAATTATCGGACAGAAAATGGGCTGTCTCTACTTCATTTATGTTGCATTTGTGGAGGTAAGTGCTTTAAACTCATTACTTTATAAACTAGTTATATGTATACGTGGTCAGTGATTTGAGCTGTTTAACAGTCTACAAGAGAATTCTATTCATGCTCAATTTTCTTTTGTGCTTTGCCCCGAGAACCCTGATAACCTTCAGATGAAGCAGTAACTCCTAGCTGATATTCCAATTGATTTAGCTCTGAATTTAAGTCTCATTGTGCTTCTAACCTGAACTAAGTCACTTAGTTTGCTTGGAAATCCAATACTGAAAAATACATTTTTCAGTATTGAGTATGCCAGTAGGGATTAGGTTAAATTCAGAAGCACTTAACGCATTCCCCAAAATATCATCAAGCAATTGCTTCACAATCTGTAGTAAGATATACAGAAGGTAATAAATGCCAGATAAAAACTTCAAATTAAAGACTGATCAAAGTAAGACTGAAAGTTTAATTTGGCTCTTATTTTGTTTTAATGTATCCCCAACACCTAAGATGATCACTAGCATATTGTAAGTCTTCAGAAGTTTATTGGATTAACTAATAGCAATATTCATTTTATGTATAAAACTAGTATCCATTGAAAACAGCTTTTAAAATAGAAAACTACTGTTTAAGTATTAATTCTTACCATATCCTCTGTCCATTCCTCCTAAACAAGCTAAGCCAACTTTACTTAACAGATCTTCCTCCTAAATTGCAATATGCCCTCTCAACCTGCATCAGATATTTCATAGTCCTTGATCTAAATTCTTCTGCTAATGATGTTTTTCTCAGGAGACCTGTGTAAATAGATTTTTATGAAAGCTTTTTCACTAATAATTGATGGAGAAGAATATTTTTGTGTTTGGAAAACATCTGATGATTAGAGCAATAAATTAAAAATGTAAGACAAATGCATTAGAATGCACAGCATTGGTAAAAAGTTCTATAAATGTAATAAAAATGTTCTCTACTGAGACTGTCAGTTATTAGAAAAGTTAACAAATGACCTGTCAAAAAGAAGTCTGACACTGTCATACATCAGTGTGACATTTAACACTGAGTAAAAGAGAGATTTTTAAAAGCATCTAGTTTATCTCCATAACAATTTCACCTTTCTTTTCACTTTTCTTTTTAAGGCAACAAGTCACACATTCGAACCCTTATGTTAAAAGGGCTCCGCCCATCTCGACTAACAAGAAATGGATTTACTGCTTTGCATGTGGCAGTTTACAAGGTACAACAATGTATTAGAACCAAGGACGATATATCTTTAGTTTTCTTGTTCCTCTTTTTTTCCTTTTACATTGTAAATCATAGGAAACATTCAGTTACTAAAATGTTATATTAGTGCATCAATTTCTTTCTCTTTATTGGGCAGTTATCCTCGATACCAGGCACATACTCTTTTTAATGAACTGTCACTTAATTCTCACAAGACCCCCATGAGTGAATACTATTATTATTATCATCGAGATTACATGGTCAGCCAGTGACTGGCTGGACTAAGATCAAGCATGCTGTCCAGTTCCCTTAGCAGAATTCCTAACACGGAGATCCAGATGCCCATAGCAAAAGATGAAGTTGCATTTGAAAATGAGAACATTGAGGTTGCATTCTTTATTCATGTGTTTTTTCAATAGTAAAAGAAATTTCTGGAATTCCCTTGAGGCTTTTTTTTTTTTTTTGCTTTACTTGTTTGTTTCCAGACTTGAGTTCTTGTTTCAATCTAATCTCACTATCTGATGAGAGTGTAAATATAAAAGTGGGTGGGAAACCTAGAATATACAGAATTGGGGATAAATTACCAAACTTATTGACCAGGGCTGTGATTGTCATAAATATAAATTTAAATGACATATAAATTAAATATGTAAATTATTCACCCGCTAATGACAAGTTTCTCCTTCTGTACTTTTGACCTAATGATCACACTGGATTTACATACATCACTACTTTAACCATTAAAATAACCATTAAAATAGTAGGCCTTATTTTACAGAAAAGGAAACTATAGATTTCTAGTAAATACTAGAATAATGATTAAAATCTAATACAATTGGTTCATATTACCAGGCTGTCACTGTGGGACTGCGCATTTTGTTCTTTGCATTTTAATGTGAATCTGTGATAGGATTTTATTTTAGCTTTGGATATACAGATGTGTGTGTGTGTGTGTGTGTGTGTGTTGGTAGGGGGAAGTGCAGGTTACGTTCAGATCACTTTGCATAGCATCCTTCCCATACTTTGCAGATATTTTATCACTTGGAGGACACCATATTTTCCTGTGATTCAGATTTACAAATTTGTGTATCCATGGTGCAAATGTTCATTCTTTTTCATGTCAGTCATTGCCTAGTCAGTTCTTCTGATTTCTTCTGGGAGAAAGTATCAGTTAAGTGCTAAATTGTCTTTGATATCTACAAGTTAGCCTCTGAAACTTGCAGGGAGGCATGGTTTATCATGTAGGAAACAATGTCTGATGCTGATTTTTCTGCAAAATGGTAAAAGGTGAGAATAGAAGAGCCCCAAGGGATAGGAAACTGGTGAACAGTCAAAGCAATGTGGAAACTATGAAGAGATATTTATAAATTTTTTTCATTTTTCCAAGCCTTAGCATGACACAGCCATACAAGTGGGCTCAAAAAGACTTAGTGCTACAATCTTCAGAAAATATATTTCCATCTCTGTTTATATCAAAACAATGGATAAACAGAATAAAATTTCCATTCTTTGAATTCCCTTTTTTCTGTCTCCTCTGTTTTCTTATATTTTCCAGACTATATGGATTATAACATTTATTGTAGTAAGTATATAAATACATTAAAGATGTAAGATACAAAGTAGGCAAAATTTCTTATTTCTTGGAATACCATAATAAAATGCATGATTACTCTATTGGTTGATTAACAAAGGTTAAAAAAAAGTTAAATTTACCATTCTACTTTAAACACAGAAATAATATATAAAGCAGCTATTAACATTATCATTGCATTAAATTAGTTCTAATTATCCCTTCCCTGAACAACTGCAATAAGCACTTAGTTCCCTTTAAATTCTAGTTCCTGCTCCTCATATACTTTATAAAAATTGAGTTTAATGTTATTTCAAACAAAAAGCACCAGAACATAATCAATAGGCCTATGTACACATTATATATGTTCTATTTTTAGAGTGCTAACACTAAAAATACATACATATTCTATTTGAATGTGTATGCGTGTACATGCCTGTGAATAATTTGAAAGTAAATTGAAGACACCATGATCTGTTGCTATTAAATCTTTATTTTCTAAGAAAAAGGAAATTAACTCATATCTCAATATAATTATCAAAATCAGGGAATTTAAAATTGATACATTATTATTTTAATCTATAGTTCAAATTAAATTTTGTTGTCTGAATAATGTATAAATTTGTATTTTCTTATTTAGGATTCAATCACTTAAGACACTTTTATTTCTTTGTCCCTATAATCTTTAATCTGAAGAAGTTACTCTCAATATTTAAATGCACAGGGAACAGTTCTTTGGTCTTAACACTCACAAAATGAATAATGCAATTTTCACATCTTTTTATTGGCCACATCAGCAGCTATTTCAGTTAGACATCCTGGCATGCACAGCCTGCCTTAAGATTATTTTTTAACCAACAGAAGCATCTTGGGTGTCACTAGTTAAAATGGAGAAGACAAGTCAATTTTATAATGCCATGTGGATGGTTAGCACTCATAATTTTCTTTTTTTAATTTTTTGATTTTTACAAAGGTGAGATTTATTGAGACCTGATATTTATTAAAAGTATAATTTGAGGGGGGGCTTTTGAAAATGTATGTAGTCATAAACCATCATCACAATCAATACAGGACTTTTTTGTCATATACAAAAGTTTCTTTACAACATTTTGCAGTAAGTTACCTCCATCTTCCCACTTTTGCCTTTGAATAATCACTGATATGTTTCTATCACAATAATTTTATTTTTTCTAGAATTTTATATGGGTGTATTCCACTATTCTCTCATGTTTCTTCTATTTATCATAATGCTATTGAGAATAATCTATGTTGTTATGTGCTTAATAATTTATTTTTATTGTGGAATTATATTTCATTAAGTAGCTATACTATAATTTGTTTAACCATTCATTTCCTGATGGATGTATAGGTTGTTGCCAGATATTAACTATTATAATATTGCTATTAACATTCATCTACAAATCTCTGAACATTGTGTTTGCTTCGGCAGCACATACACAAATTTCGGAACATGTTTTTATTTCTCTTGGGTAATACTTTGGAGAGGAATTGATAGGTCATATCATAATTACATATTTAACTTTACAAGAGACTGCCAAACTCTTCCAAAATGGCTATATCATTTCACATCCCTATAATGAAGTACAGAATTCTTGTTTCATATTCTTGCCAATATTTGTTATGGGATAGTATTACTGAGGCAGGAAATAGGTCTAAGCTGCTTATCATCTTACTCTGAGCACTCTGAACAATTTCTGGTATGCCTTCATCAATTACTATGCATTACATAAAGGAATGACTGAGGTTAAAATTCTGTGGTATCTGGGAAGAAGAAAGTACTTTAAAGTACAAAGAATCATGTTAGCTTTCAACAAAATACTGTCCTACTTTAGCAATTGAAATTAGGAAATTGTCTGCCCTCCCTGGTGGTGGTGAGTATTAAAGCACAGCACTGTAAGTAAGCTGGCTGCAGCCGCTTCAGTACCAGTTTGATCCCTGCTCTGGAGGTGATCCACATGGCACAGCAGAGTTCTCCTGTTACAACTGCTGCTCCCCTCCACAGTGTACTTTGTCAATCTGCCTGTTCAGTTCCCCACTGTCTGTGGTGAATAATCACCGCTCCTGAGCGGCTGGTCTGTACCCTAGTTCTGTATGCACAAATAAACACATCTTTAAAAAAAAAATTGGGAAATTGTCAGATATCTCTTAAATAGATAAGTGATTTATAGAAGAAAACAAATATAAAAAAAATTGCAAGTAGAAGTTGGGAAAATGGAGGCAGTGAATATTGACTGCTTCTTCAAAAGGTGAGAGATTGAACAGAATCTTGAGGGGGCAGAATCACAGGAAGATTTCTACAAAGATTTCTATTTTAGTCTTTTTAAAAGTCTTGGCCATTTAGTTAAACAAGAACATTCACTGTTGAAATGTCTTTTAATTAAAAATAAATGATATGTAAGTAAAGATATTAAAGAAAGTGTAACATTAAATTTATCTTTTCAGTTTTACTTGCATTTCCCCAAACTCCCATTCTAATTAGTCCCTTCCTAGTAAATCATTCTTATGTTATTGAGTAAAAGGACAAGTATATTTAAAAGCCAATTGGAAGCAGCCTGCAAGAAGAAAGTTATTACAGGAAACTGGAAAATAGGAAAAGAAGGACCAGTAGAGGCAATGAGAAAAAAAAATAGGTTAAAAGCAGATTTGGAGCTATTACCCTGGAAACTATAGGTACTCTGTCTAAGAAATGCCTTCTCTTTTTTTCTCTTTTCTCAAAAATTCAAATAAAATCAAGTATTTCCATCACACTAAAGCTTTAATAATTGATAACTTTTGTGAAGATAAATTCAGAATTATTTTAACAAGAGACGTACAGGTATGAACCTTTGTGAGCAGTTATTTTTATGCTGATTAATGGAACTTTTTATTGAAGATGTCTATGATGCATGAGACAGCTCTCATTCATTAAATTTTAATGCCTGGAACTAAATACATTTCATACTGAAGTCCTGCATAGCTCTTTGTCCAAGAAAAAACTGCTCATATAAATATGTTTATATGTGTGTGCATATATATATATATATATA